GGGGGATGTCGGTGTGGTCAGCAATGCCAGGGCTCAGCTGAGATGGCAGCGGCTGACAGCAAGCCGCCCCCCCCCCCCCGCAGAAAAGCACGTTGAGGCGGACTCGGCAGCGCGGTGCTGTGCGGGAGTGGAGGAATCGTGAGCCCCATGACTTCCCCGCCGTCCCCGCGCTGCTTGCTGGAGGACCATGCCGGTGGAGATGCTGGTGGAGATCTTCGCCTCGCTCCCTGGCACCAACCTGCCCAGCCTGACCCAGGTCTGTACCAAATTCCACCGCATCCTGCACACCAACAGCATCTGGAGACGGCACTGCCGGGAGGAGTATGGCGTTTGTGAAAACTTGAAGAACCTGGGGATGATAGGGATGTCTTATCCAGAAGTCTATGCGAAGCTGCTCCACCCATTCAGAAACATTTTGGGATTGTGGCACCTAGATACTGAGCACTATAGAACACTAGTGAATGTAGTGGTGGACACCTTATGCATTACTGGTTGGATGGACGGGCCTTGCCTTAACACCCATGTGGATGGCCCAATGCAATTCAATCCCTTGTTCAGAATTTGCTTGACGGAGCGGAAATCAGCCACGGTGGAGTGCATGGAAGGCCGCATCAGCAGGCCCCACAACCACCACATGCAGATTCAGAAGGACAGGTTCAGCATCCAGTGCAACAAGACAGACCACCGAAGGGATTCACCAACGCGGCTTAGGGAAGAATGGGGGCTGGTGCTGGTGCAGGAGGACAGACAGGTGTATGACTGCCTGACCTCCCGCCGAGCCACCCGGACGACCTCATCAGGCCAGGCCTCTTCCAAGCCAAGTACGATCCCTACGGCCTAAATATTGCCATGCTCAGCTTCCATGGGAAGTATGCCAGGGTCACGAAGATCACGGAAGACTCCCACAAGTTAGAGATCCACCTCAAGCGCCGCATCCAGCTGCCAGGTGTCAAGATCTTCCGCAAATTTTTTTTTTTATTAAATCTTTATTGTTCAGATTATTACATTTGTTCCTCTTTTTTTCCCCCCATAACTCCCCTCCTCCCAGTTCCCGCCCCACCATCCGCCCTCACTCCCCACCCACTGTCCTCATCCATAGGTGCACGATTTTTGTCCAGTCTCTTCCTGCATCTCCCACACCCCTTTCCCCCCCAAGAATAGTCAGTCTATTCCCTTTCTATGTCCCTGATTCTATTATGATCACCAGATTATTTATTCACTTGATTCTTAGATTCACTTGTTGATAGATGCATGTTTGTTGTTCATAATTTGTATTTTTACCTTTTTCTTCTTCTTCCTCTTCTTAAAGGACACCTTTCAGCATTTCATATAATGCTGGTTTGGTGGTGATGAACTCCTTTAGCTTTTCCTTATCTGTGAAGCTCTTTATCTGACCTTCAGTTCTGAATGATAGCTTTGCTGGATAAAGTAATCTTGGTTGTAGGTTCTTGGTATTCATCACTTTGAATATTTCTTGCCACTCCCTTCTGGCCTGCAAAGTTTCTGTTGAGAAATCAGCTGACAGTCGTATGGGTATTCCCTTCTAGGTAACTGAGTTTCTTTCTCTTGCTGCTCTTAAGATTCTCTCTTTGTCTTTTCCTCTTGGCATTTTAATTATGATGTGTCTTGATATGGTCCTCTTTGGATTCCTTTTGTTTGGGGTTCTCCGTGCTTCTTGGACCTGTAAGTCCATTTCTTTCACCAGGTGGGGGAAGTTTTCTGTCATTATTTCTTCAAATAGGTTTTCAATATCTTGCTCTCTCTCATCTTCTGGCACCCCTATAATTCTGATGTTGGTACGCTTGAAGCTGTCCCAGAGGCTCCTTACACTATGCTCGCATTTTCGGATTCTTTTTTCATTTTGCTTTTCCGGTTGGGTGTTTTTAGCTTCTTCACATTTCAAATCTTTGCCTTGATTCTTGCGGTCCTCTGGTCTGCTGTTGGGAGTCTGTATAATATTTGTTATTTCAGTCCGTGTATGTTTAATTTCTAGTTGGTTCTTTATCATAACATCGAGGGTCTCATTACATTTGTTGAGGATCTCATTAAGTTTATCAGCGGCTTCTAGACAGTTCTTGAGAGACCTTAAAAGTGTGGTTCTGAACTGAATATCCTCCATTGACAGTTTTGTCCTGTTTCTTTGTCTCCGCATTTTTTATGCTTTCTTGGTGCACCCCCTAGTGGTCTTTGTGTGCAGTCCCCCTGTAGTTAAGCCTAGATTGTTGTAGTTAATACTAGGGGGATTTGACCTCCAGGCCAGCTGGCTGTGAGAATCAGCTGTGTCTGTAGTGGGAAAACGTCTGTCCTCTAGGGAGGTGCTAATCTAGCCTTTGCCTGAGGCTATCTGGCAAATGGCTCTGTGCAGGGCTTGAGCGGGGCGGGTGGGTCGCCCGGGCTCGGGATCTACAGGGCAGGCCGGAGAGAGCAGTTATGGGGGCTCTCAGTTCCATCCCTAGGGGCTCTGCCTCACAGAGTCCCAGCAACCGCTGCAAACCTCGGAGAGAAAGCTGCCTTCGAGTTCCGACTGAAGCCAGACAGTCCCGCTTCTCCCATTTAAGTCTGGGTCCCTAGAGACTCGCCTGGATCTGGAGCTCAGAATCTGAGACTCCCTCCCGATTGAAAGCACCAACCGCGCCCTCCGCCGCCAGCCCGCTCCGCGCGTACTCCGTACCTGAGTATTTCACTTCAGCGCTGCGCCTCCTCTGAGTCTGGGTATGATATTCTCTTTCCTCCTAGTTGTAGAATTTCCACTCAGCCAGCCTTCCTGTGGTTCTGGATGATGTCCGTTCCGTCTCTTAGGTGTGTTTTGATTTGGTTGTTCAAGGCAGCACTCTCCGGCGTTAACCTATGCCGCCATCTTGGTTCTCCCTCTCTTTCGCAACTTCCTTATTTTTTATTTAGATTTGAGAGAGAAAAGGTAAGTGTAAGAGAGAGAGAGGAGAGAGAAACATCGATTTGTTATTCCACTTTTTATGCATTTATTGATTGCTTCTTGGAGACTCACGTCTCATCCTCAGATGACCTCAGAGGTCCTGGTCCTGCTCTGGTGCTGAAGGGAAGCTCCTGAGATGGGACAGGACACAGAGTCAGGGCTCGTGTCCCAACCTGGCATCTAACCAACAACTTTGCTGTATCGGGAAGACTTCTAAACAACTGAGCTACCCCGGCCAGGATAAAACTCAATTTCTTATCCACCAAATGAGGGCACAAAAGTCTCTCTGTATTAGTAAGACTGAAGGCCCATCTATCTTCAGCCGTGGGCAAACTATGGCCCGTTTGAAATTAATAAAACAAAACAAAACAAACAAACAAAGAAAAAGACCGTACCCTTTTATGTAATGATGTTTACTTTGAATTTATATTAGTTCACACAAACACTCCATCCATGCTTTTGTTCCGGCCCTCCGGTCCAGTTTAAGAACCCATTGTGGCCCTCGAGTCAAAAAGTTTGCCCACCCCTGATAGATACTACTGTGTTAGAAAGATTTTACAAATATCTGGTGGCAAATTCTTTTATGTCACCGGGATCAAGAGTTTCCAGATGCATATCCACAGACTCAGATGGAAAACTACATGAGCTGAACCTAAATTTTAATTGTAGCTGCATATTCCATTCATGTTTCCTAGAAATATTATGTTCTTGGAGCCACATTTTACTGTGAGAAGCATATTTTTTATCAATCTTACATATTTTTATTTTATGTAGAAATCAGAGCCCTTATAGTCCAACTTTGAATTTGAGGTTCCTTACCATTTTGTGGCACTTCTAAGGTAGCAATTTTTTTTAAAGGCAAACAGAAATAGCCTAGGTAAAAAGAAATCATTCTACCAGGCCGCTAGAATAACACTGTTTCTGATATTAAGTCTAGATATATCCCTGAGAATCCCAGCAGTCAATGCAAAAAGGAAATTATGAACTCTTGCTGAGACAAGAAAGTATGTAGTTTATTTGAAAGGCAAATATCATCTTACTCCTAAGACCGGGAGAAACATACTCCATCTGGAAAGATCTTTGCAAATATAAGGGAAATGTTTGAGCTCATTGTTCATCCACAACTTTGCAGCATTTTTCCATAACAGGAAATGCGCATCTGCATGATGAGGAACTGAGACAGTCTCTCCCATTCACACACTCTGAGTGACGGGAATCATAAAGAAGAGTTCCCTGCCCTGGCATCAGGGAACATGTGGTCTTCCTTTGTGTTACATGAAGATGCAACACAGTTTTCACTTCAGAGATGCCATCATTGCAACACTGTGAATCAGAGAAGATGTAAAATAGGAACCCGCACTTGTGTTTTTACGAAAGACCCAGAGTGCTACCAGGACACATGGTAGACTGAAGAGTGACTGCAGATCTGAAGCCAGCCCAACAACACTGTGTTTGGGAGGAAGTGATGTCACTGGGTGGAGACCATCTCAGGGACATAGACCAGGTCCATGGTTCTGTTCTTGTCTTGTCTTCAGTCAACAAACATGTAGATGTTCACTGAGTGTTTCGTGAATGAATAAATGAATGAATGAATGAGTGAATGAATGAATGAATGAATGAGTGAATGCTGCCTTCACTTCACTTGGGACCCCCTTCTTTCCTTCTGCCCTAAATTCTCACATGGACATTACAGAATCCTACGCCTTGTAGGTCCGACCACAGCTTCTAGAAGAGGCTGGCACCTCCAGTCAATGCAGAGGTGAACCAGCTCTCTGATGTAGACACCAGAGCTCAGAAAAGCCCCCAATGGGAGGACCTTAGGAGACTCCCGTGTCCCCTCCCCAGAGGTCCTCAGAAGTCCTGGTTCTGCTCTGGAGCTGCAAGGAAGACCCTAGATTGGACAGGACATGGAGTCAGCTTTCTGTCTGTCCTTCTCTGGCAGGGTGTCCATGGTCTCTGGGCTGTGGGGTGTCTGCCTGCTCTGTGCAGAGAGGGGAAGTGCTTTGGCTCTGAGGTTCCTCTTTTGTGAACGGCTGAGATCTCGTGCTCCTCCCCAGCTTCCGTGCTCTCATCACGGTCCCCACTCCTACTGTCTTCATTCTTTTTTCACCCACAAGAGCCCAGAAACCCTCCAAGTCAGAGATGCTGTGGCTGCTGCCCCTGCTGTGGGCAGGTGAGCACCTGAAGGGAGAGGGGAGAGTGGGGCAGGGGCTATGGCTGACCCTCCTTTTCTTCCAGGGTCCTTGGCTCAGGATGGAAAATCCTACACGCTGACAGTGCAGACACCCGTGATGGTGCAGGAGGGCCTGTGCGTGTTTGTGCCCTGCACCTTCACCCCTCCAAGGTACTACTGGATTAATTCTCCCCCTGTATATGGCTACTGGTTCCCAGAAGGAGCTAATAAAGACACGGATGCTGCTGTGGTTACAAACAACCCCGATCGTAACGTGAAGGAGGAGACCCAGGGCCGATTCCACCTCCTCGGGGATCCCAGAACCAACAACTGCTCCCTGGACATCAAAGATGCCAGGAGGACAGATAACGGATTGTATTTTTTTCGGGTGGAACCGACAAGTTACCCAAAGGATAAATATTCTTATATACAGCACAAGCTCTCCGTGCAAGTGATGGGTAAGGAATGGGCTCCAGGAGAGGCCTCAGGAGAAGTTCATAATAGCCCCCAGGCAGGGCTGGGATGGGACACCATCCTGGGAGGAGGGTTGGGGTGCAGTGTGCTGGGCTCAGAGGGAGGAGCTGGACTAAAACCCAAGCTGATGCTTCTCTCAGGGCTGCACCTGGGACACACCCTCCTGATCCCCTATCTCGCCCTCCTCACCAGCCCTCAACCACACACCTGACATCCTCAACCCGGGGCCCCTGGAGAGCGGCCGCCCCAGGAACCTGACCTGCTCTGTGCCCTGGGCCTGTGAGCGGGGCACGCCCCCCATCTTCTCCTGGACGTCAGCTGCCCACAGCTCCCTGGGCCCCAGGACCCGCCTCTCCTCCGTGCTCACCCTCACCCCACGGCCCCAGGACCACGGCACCAACCTCACCTGTCAGGTGCATTTTCCTGCCGCTGGTGTGTCTGTGGAGACAACCATCCAGCTCAACGTCACCTGTGAGTGCTGGGTCGGAACAGCAGGTCCCTGAGGGTGTGCAGAGCAGGAGGGCCAGGCTGGTGTGGTCAGTGCTTTTGTCCTGGTGGCCTGGCTGTGTAGGGGACTTGCTGGAGAAAGCCCTGCCCCTCTTGCATTTCTGTGGTCTCTGTGGGTGGAGGGGGAATGCCTGAATGATCCTTACTCCATCTCAGTCCACTGAAGAAGGAATTCCTCTCTTCCTGTCCTAGGTGCCCCACAGAACCCTTCACCAGGTGGTTGCCTAGGAGACAGTGCAGGTGGGAAGGAGCCTTCTGTCATGCGGCATTGACTGACGTGGGTCTCTGTCTGGGTGATTCAGATCTGGACTTCAGAGTTCAGCAGGGGGGTGTGGGTGCAGTTAAACATGAGCACCCCTATCTAACCTCTTCCCCAGTACCCTCCAACCACTGTCTGGCCAGAGTGACCACAACCTTCTCCCTGCCCATCCTAACAGATGCTCTTTATCTTCCTCCAGTTACAAATGCCTTGGGACATTTTAGAGTAGACTTTAGTTTTAAGAGCAGTTATAAACTCACAACAATATTGAGCAGGAGACAGAAGGCAGAGAGATTTCCCCTAAACCTGTCGCACCCTCCCTCACATGCACATCCCCCACCAGAGGGGACATTTGTACAATCAATGAACCAACACTGACACATCATTGTCAACTAAAACTCATAATTATCGTTTACTCTTGGTGTTGTACACTCGATGGGCTTGGACATTGTATCATGACACGTGTACAACATTATAATGTCATGTAGAGCAGTTTCACTTCTCTGAAGATCTCTATTTTTTGCCTGCCCACCCCTTGGCCCTCACCTTGACCTGTCTCTAGAGCCCTATCCTCCTCCTGCCCTATTCCCATTGGTGATGGCATCTGGTCCCCACCCCGACTGCTCAGTGACCCTGTTAGGACTCTCTCAGCAGTTCCATCAGACTGTAACAGGTGATGCTCAGAGACACATCCCTGACCCCAGGGCTCCTGGGAGGCATGGCCAGACGAGACTAGGAAAGCTGTCTGGGTCTCGCCTGAAGGTCTGAGAACCTCCTGGATTTCACCTTCTTCTGGAGGCACAAAAGACCACCTTTGAACCTGAGCTACAGGGCCAGTGGAGGCCAGGAGAGAAGATTCTGACACCTTCCCAGGAAGGAAAGAGAGAGGTCTTTCGGCAACCCACAGCACTCTGTGTGTGTCTCTCTGGAGTGCCCATGGGACACTGAGGCTCAAGATCCTACTACAGCCAGCTCTGGAGTCTGTGGCAGGGACACCCTAGATGGAGAAGATCCCAGGTCCTAGGAAAGATGAGGTTTGCTGCACAGGAGTGTGGGGACTGGATAGAAGATGTCACGTAGACCGTGTTTTTCACCCCATGGTTCTGGAGGACCTAGTTGCTCAGCCCTGGATGGGAGGAGAGGGGCACTCATATGTTCATGCTTGAGAAGAGGGGATACATGCCTGCTCATCAAGCTTGGAGTTCACCCATGTCTCTCTTGTCTGCAGGGGAACCAAGGACGAGGGCAGATGTGGTTGGGGCGGCCGTCGGGGGAGCCGGTGTCACTGCACTGCTGGCTGGCTGTCTCTGCCTCATCTATTTTGTGTGAGATGGGACAGGTGTGGGCCAGAGGTGGAATATAGGGATCTGGAGGGGTTGTGAGGGCCCAGAGCAAGGGTAAGGGGTGCGGTGGTGGTGATAATCCAGCCCATAGCCACTGAGCCAGGCTTGAATCAGGAGGTGTGGGGGAAAACCTTGTTCATAAGTCTTGTTATGAAGGCTCCTGGTCTTGCCCCACCCTTGACCTTCCCTAGTCACTCCAGCCTCAAAGAGTGACCCTGGTGTCTCCCAACAGAGTGAAGACCCGCAGGAAGAAAGCAAGGACAGCAACTGGCATGGACAACATCCACACTGCCATGGGGCCAGCTTCCCTGGTGAGTAACATGGACATCCTGGCCTGCAACCCTGCCCCCACTTCCTGGGTGGCCCACATTTGTATTCCATTCAGTGTGTCCAGAAATGAGCTCTTCACCTTCCCACTCTTTTGGAAGATGTAGGTTTTCTTATTATTCAGGTATGTCAGGCCAACAGATCAGGAGACAACTTGTTGATTTGTTCCTCACAGTTCCCAAGAGGAGGGCAAAAGGTCACACCACAGGGCCACACAGGGCAGCATCAGGGTCGGTCAGGAGGCAGAAGGAGTGAAGGGGAAAATGTGGGCAGGAACCTTGATGGTGGTTCCATGGGGAAGGTGAGATGAGGCAGGGAAAGCAGGCTTGGGATTATCTAGTTTGAATAATTTCAACAGGCTCTGGGGTGTAGGAGCTGTCTCTCATTGTCTGGTCCCTGGTCCTGGTGTGATCAGGGCAGGAAGAGCTTGGTCAGAAGTGTAAGAGTTCCATAAAGGAGATGGTTGGAGGCATGGAGTTTGGATTGGACTGGTTGGTTTGCAATATGAAAGTCACACTTACAGGCAAGTCCTTTCCTATCTCTAGCAATTAGCTAGTCCTGGCGGGGTTATCAAAGCCCCAGATATCAGGACATAAAATGCACATGATTAATACACCCCTAAAATACACTTCTGCTGGGCTCTCCATCTCACCAATGGTATTCTTGTCCCTGAAACCCAACCAGAAACCCGGCCCTGTCCTGCCCAATCCTCCACCAGCTCTTTCTGCACTAATACACTGCAAAGCATGTCTACTGAAGCCCTCCTGCCTCTCCTCCCCAGCACTGCCACATCACACCCAAGTCTGAAATGCACTGGTTCTCCACACTGCCGAGCACCCAGACAACTTGATCCGGCATTTGAGGCAGGAAAAACCAGTCACTTCCCATGCTTTGTGCCTCCCACACTCGCCTGCTCATTTGCCTCCAACAAAGTAAACTTTTTGCATCTCAGAATCATCGCTTGGCTGTCCCCTCCTCTTCACATGCCTGCCTCAACCCACCCTGCTCCTGCTCATCCTCCAACTTCTGACTCTCATCGAACTCTAACTTATGTGGGTACCACTGTGAGGTTTTTGAGCAGACGATCAGACATCACCCATGCATTTATCTTTTCCTTCGGCCAGTATCTCCCACTTGTCAATATCTGTATTTTTACAAATCATTACGTTACAAATGTAAAATGTCCCTTCCGAGCTTGCAGATGGCCACCTTCTTGCTCTCTCATGGCCTTTTCTCTGTGCCCATGCATTCCTGGTCTCTCTTCTTTTTATAAAGACTTGAGTCATGTTGTGTCCAACACTAATGACCCCATTTAAAAAATTAAGTACCTCTTTAAAGGCCCTATCACCAAATATAGTCACATTGGGAGTTAAAGCTTCAACATATGAATTTGGGAGACACAGTTCAGTCCATAAAACAGACTTAATCAGGGCATCAGTGATGAATCTGGTGTGAAGCAGTTGGGGTCTGGATACATTTTGCAGGTGGGGTCAACAGGATTTGCCAATAGAATGATAGGGTACACTTGGGTGTGAGCTCACTGCCTTTACCTCATAGGTGTCATAGATATCAAGGAGGACTCCATAGATATCATAGATGTCCAGTGATGTCATAGAGGTCCATCTATAGTCATAGGTGCTCTTAAATACTTATAGATGTCCATAGATGTCAAAGATAACTCTATGGATAGTATAGATGCCCAGAAATGTCATAGATTTTCAAGGATGGTCAGAGATGTCCATTCATTGTCCTGGATATATTCATAGATGTCATAGATGCCCAACGATGTCATAGGGGTCCATAGATAGCCATAGATGTTCACAAATGTCCATATATACCAAGGATGACTCTAATGTGGTTGCCCTGAGCAACTTAAAGGATTGAAGTACCAATTCTTGAAATTGCCAACTCTGCAGGAAGAGTATGTTTTTGAGAGGCGATCAAACTTTGTTTTGGTTATGGTAAGTTTGAGGCACTTCTGAGATGTTTATGTGAAGAGGACAAGTAGATGGCCAGAGTCTGGAGTTCAGGAGAGCGGTCTAGGTGGGAGGCATGGAGATCTGGGTGTCTTCCACATCAAGGTCTGATATTGGATGAAGCCACAAAGAAGAGAAGGGGTCTGCGAACAGAGCCCTGGGGCCCTCCAGCACTTAGAGTCAGGGAGACGTGGTAGAAAGAGCAAAAAGACCACTGAAGAAAAATAATTGACCAAGAGAGTGTAGGGAGGGGTCCTGGTGGCCAAATAGGGATGGAACTTCAAGGGGGCGAGAGTGCTCACGTTTTTTCAAATGCTAATAAGTCTGGTAAAATAGGATCTGAGAAATGACCGTTTAAATCAGTGGTTCCCAACCTTTTTTCGGCCATGCCCCACCTAAGCATCTCTAAAATCCTTTTGCCCCCCTCATGACATATAATTCTTATTATTCAAAAAGTGAGCGGGGGTTTGGGAAAGAGAGAAGGGGAGAGAAAGAGAGAGAGAGAGAAACAGAAACATCGATGTGCGAAAGACACATTGATTGATTGCCTCCCATAGGTGCCGGACTGGGGCCAGGAATCAAACCTGCAACCCAGGTACCTGCCCTTGACCAGGAATTCAACCCATGACCCTTCAGTGCATGGGCTGGCACTCTAACCACTGAGAACACCAGCCAGGGTGTAATGAGGCAACTCTTGTGGATTCCTGGATGGGGGCTGGTCACAAGAAAGACTGAGCTATAATTAGAAGCTTAGACGTTTAAGCTCCATCCTCCATTCTCCAGAGAGAGGAGAGGGGCTGGAAATGGAATTAATTATTGATCATGTCTACATGATGAAACCTGCATAAAAATGCTGAGTATAGGGCTGAGGGAGATTTCAAGTTGGTGCACGTGGCGACAACATAGAAGCTCCTTGCCCTTCCCTCATACCTGGGCCCTTGCATCTCTTCATCGGATGCTCATCTGTATCCTTTATCACATCCTTCTATAACAAGCTGCTCTATGGCTAGTTTCCCTGAATTCTGTGAGTCACACTAGAGAATTAATTGAACTTGAGGAGGGAATCGTGGGGACCTCTGATTTATACCCAGTTGGACAGAAGCACAGGTGGCAACCTGGACTTGTGATTGGCATCTGAAGTGGCAGTGGGGGTGGGGGATCTTGTGGGACTGAGCCTTTAACCTGTCGGATTTGACAATAACTTCAAGTAGATGGTGTCAGAACTGAGTCCAGTTGTAGGATGTCCAGCTGGTGTCAGAGAATTGCTTGGTGTAAGAGTAAAGGAGATCCCTGACTGGGTGGCTCATTTGGTTAGAGAGTCATCTCATATACCAAAAGGTTGCAGGTTAGATGCCTGGTTGGGGCACATACGGGAGGCAACTGATCCATGTTTCTCTCTCACATCGATGTTTCTCTCTCCCTTCCTCTCTTTCTCTAAATCAATAAAAATATATCCTTGGGGGAGGATTTTTTTTAAAAAGGGAATAAAGGAGAGACACACAGGAGTAGAAGTTCTTTCTCATAAACATCCAGTGTTTGGCACATAGGAGAGCTCTGAGAGACCAGGGGTTGAGTTCATGACCAGTAGATGTGTGCTCTTGAGAAGTACCTAACTTCTCTGAGACTTACTGTCTTTCTTTGTAAAATAATAGTATTTCCCACAAAGGTCTGTGTGAGTGGTCACTAGAATTGGAAAGCAACCAGTAAGAGCTATCTTTGTTGGATAAGTGATTAAATGGGACCTTGAGAAATATTCAATAAAAGAAAGAATGATCTGACCAATATTTCTCAGTGGTTAGAGTGTCAGCCCATGCACAGAAGGGTTGTGGATTCAATTTCTGGTCAAGGGCACTTACCTGGGTTAGAGGTTCCAGCCCCACCCCATTCGGGGTGCATGCAGGAGGCACCCAATAGATGTGTCCCTCTCACATCAATGTTTCTCTCTCTCTCTCTCTCTCCCTCCACCCCTCTCTAAAAATCAATGGAAAAATATATCCTCAGGTGAGGATTAACAAAAAATAAAATTTAAAAATTTATTTTAAAGAGATGGGAGAATGAACAAAGATCCTATTATAATCAAATTCGTTGCAGGAACTCCTCCCGCTACCTCCACCCTGCTCTGACCTTGATGTTCTTTGCTCTCCACACAGGGTCACCAGAAGACGCCGGAATTAGACAGCCCAGCAGCTGACTCCACTAGCTCTGCAGGGGCTGCCCCGACCTTGAGGGTGGAGCCAGAGGTGTATTATGCCTCCATCCGCTTTCAGGGGAAGAATCGTACTCAGACAAGCACCGAACCGGAATACTCAGATGTCAGGACCCAATGAGAGGCAGAAATGTCCATATCCCTCTGGGAGGAAGGGGGACCTACCAGCTGACTTTTGGAGAGGTCACATCCCCACAGGCAGTGGGTTTATAAACTACTGTATATGCCTTTCCTGGTATGTTGGAACTATCTTAGGCATTGCATTCAGAGAGACCTGGGAGCAAGTTCATGCTCTTTCCATCGATTAAGAAGAATATGACATCACCTGAGCCACCTTACTCCTCCGGAATTTGATTTCCTGATTTGTGATCAGGCGTAAGAAGTTCTACATCGCAGGGTTGCTATGAGCATTAAATTAAAGTACGCATGGAACCTGGCTGGCAGCTCAGTTGGCTAGAGTGTTGTCCTGTTACGCCAAGGCTGTGAGCCTCAGTCAGAGCACACACAACAATCAACCAATGGCGCCGGCTGGTGTGGCTCCGTTGGTTGAGTGCATCCCATGCACTGAAAGGTTGCTGGTTTGATTCCATGCCCAGGTTTCCGGCTCGATTCCCAGTAGGGGCCGTGCAGGAGACAGCTGATCAATGCCCTGCTCTCGCATCCATGTTTCTCTTTCTCTCTCCCTCTCCATTCCTCTGTCTTTCAAAAAAAAATCAATGAAAATATTTTTTAAAAAAGAACCAACCAATGAATGCATAAGTGGAACAACAAATCGATGTCTCTCTCTCTCTCTCTCTCTCTCTCTCTCTCTCTCTCTCTCTCTCTCAAATCAATCAATAAAAAAAAATTTTTTTTAAATACATATGGTGCCTGGCTGGTGTGGTTCAGTGGTTGAGTGTTGACCTATGAACCAGGAGGTCATGGTTCAATTCCTGGTCAGGGCATATGACTGGGTTGTGGGCTCAATTCTCTCTCATCATTGATGTTTCTCTCTTTCCCTCTTCCTTCCTTTCTGAAATCAATTTAAAAAGATATTTTTTCTTTTTTTTTTAAAGAATTCTTTATTGTTGAAAGTCTTACATATGTCCTCTTTATTCCCCCATTGACCCCCTCCAACCCACCCCCACTCACCACCCCCATGCAAGACCTTTAGCACCCTATTGTCTGTGTCCATATGTCATGCATATATGCATACAAGTTCTTTGGTTGATTACCTCCCACCCACCCACCCTCCCCTGCTTTCCTTCGGAGATCCGCCTGCACTCTGTTCCATGCTTCCGTGTCTCTGGATCCACTCCGTTCATCAGTTTATTTTGTTATGTAGATTCCACCTATGAGTGCGATCATGTGATACTTGTCTTTCTCTGACTGACTTATTTCACTTAGCATGACATTCTCCGGGTCCCTCTAGGCTGTCTCAATGGGTAAGAGATTCTTCTTTTAAAAAGATGTTTTTAAAAAGTACATATGGGAAAAACCCAGCAAAAGTCCTGGTATGCTGTGAGAGTTTGATGCACGTCTTCTCCGTCCCCGGGATGGTGTCAGTGGCGTCACTCAGAGGCTGGATATAATCTGTCCTTTCGTGGACACTGTATTGCAACATGTCAGCCTCACTCTCTATGCAGATTCCTTCTGTGGATCCCTTCCCATCACCTCCCTCCACTCCTGAATCTTTCCTGTCCATCCTGCCTACTTGCTATGGGCAAAATCACTTACTAACACTTACAGAATTTCCTAAAACTTGGAGTCAAAACACTGCTCTATCTCCTCAGCCCAAAAGACCCATTGACAAGCCTCTCAATTTGACATTCTAGATCACGAATCAGGGGAAAAACTTTGTAAGGGGACAGAGAGCAAATATGTTAGGCTTTGCAAGCTGTGTGGTTTTTGTTGCAACTAGGCATCTCTGTTTGCAGTGCAAACACAGCCACAGGCAATCTGAAAATAAATTAATGTGGCTGTGTCTCAACAAAATTTTATTTACAAAAGTAGGCAGCCCCCCTGGCTATAGTTTTCTGACCTCTGCTCTAAGTTATTCTTTTTTTAAAAATCCTCATCAGGGATATGTTTATTTGATTTTGAGAGAGAGAAAGAGAGAGCGAGAAAGAGGTGAAAGAGAAATATCAATTGGTCGCCTCCTGTATATACCCTTATTGGGGATGGAACCCACAGCCTAGGTATGTGCCCTGACCAGGAATCAAACTTGTCACCTTTTAGTGTACAGGACAATGCTCCAACCAACTGAGCCACCCAGCCAGGGCTGTTCTAAGCTATTCTTAATCTCATGCAGTCCACTTTTCCATCACCATAGCCTAAGTCATCAACCACTCAAGCCATTCTCTAAGAACCCTTGTTCTGGTGTGTTCCTCACTGTCTTTGAGCATCCATAGCCCTCCTTCAAAATGGTTTCAAAAATATGTGTCTGTGTTGAAAAGATGAAGGAAAAGCATCCTCAACTGAAATAGTTAAGATAGTAGATTTTATGGGCTTGTTGTTTTTTTTAACCACACTGAAGAAAAGTAATATAAAGTAGTTACCAAGGGCTTCAGATTGGGGGAGCTGGTGGGCAGTTAATGTTGAACGGGTACAGAACTTCCAACGTGATGTCTTCTTTAACTGCTTTGCTTCCACTGCCCTATGGAAGATTCTGGAACTCCTTCTTCTGGGACCCCACGGACTCCATTCATCTCTCCACCAAGCTTTAATCCCAGGTACTAGAGACCACCTAAACTGTCTTAATGAAGGCAGTAGAGGACAGTGGTTGAAATTTTAAAGTGAACAATCCAGTGGCATTTAGTACAGCCCTAGTCAATGTGGTTCAGTTGGTTGGAGCATCATCCTGTACACCAAAAAGTTGCAGGTTCAATTCCTGGCATGGCACATATCTAGGTTGCATTTTGATCCCGTCAGGGCAAGTATAGGAGGCAACTGGTCAATTTCTCTCTCTCTCTCTCTCTCTCTCTCTCTCTCTCTCTCTCTCTCTCTCTCCCCCTCCCTCCCTCCCCCTCTTTAAAATCAATAAGCATGTCATCGAGTGAGGCTTTTTTTAAAATTTAAGCCTCCACCTAAAGGTGGAAACAACCAAAATGTCCATCAATACATGAATGAATAAACAAAATGTGGACCATCCACACATGGAATCTTATTCAGCCATAACAATAGGTAGTACACAGATACATGCTTCAACATAGATGAACCCAAAGACATGCTACATGAAAGACACCGTACACAAAAGTTCACATGTTGTATGATTCTATTAACACAAAACATCCAAAATAGATAAACCCATAGGGACAGAATGTAGATTCAGGGCTGCTAGGGGCTTCTGGGAAGATGAAATGGCGAGTGACTGTTGAATGGGGACAGGGTTTTTGGCAGGTGATGGAAAATGTTTTGCGAGGAGGCTGAGGTGGTGGTTACACAACATTGTGCCACTGAATTGTTCACTTTAAAATGGTTCATTTTGTTATGCAATTTTCCCTCAATTAAAAACAAGCATTTAAGCTCTTAAAGTCATCCCACCAGGATTCAAACACCTGCTTCACCACCGAGCCTCTTGCTCCTCCCACCGGCTCATCTGTTAAATGGGGGCAAGAACCGTCCTTAGCTCATGTGCTTGTTCTGAGGATTCCATGATTTAATTCGCACAGGCATGGGCAGGGCCGGAGGCACGTTGAGCCTGCAGTAACGGTCAGCCATGGGCAGCTGGTCAAGTACACTCAGATAAACGCTGCCAAGGGGATCGTTTGACTCCCTAGATGACCTCTCGGTTTCCATATGTAAATAAGTGGTGAGAGGCTTTCTACTTGCAGCCTGACCAAGTGGGTGTTCCTGTTACGGGAAAGGCTGCTGATGAGCAAGTTAGCAAATAAGTATCAGGCCTATTTTAGGTCAGTAGTATTTACGGCCAGGGTTTTGTTTCACTTCCCCTCCCACACTGCCCCTTCTCATGAGTCACCAAGCCCAGGATCTGTCCCCTCTTCTCCATCCCCTGACTGGGTCCTCACCTGATCCTTCACTTCAGGACCATTGAAACAGCCTCATGCCTACCCCCCTCCCCCCAGCCCCTGGGCTTCGTTTCACCCCATGCAGCCCATCACCAGCACCAGTCGCAAAGAGAGCTTTCTAATACTCAGCTCCAACTCTGCCCGTCTCCCAGATAAACATCCTTCCACACCTGCCGCGTTCGAGGTCTCAACTCCAGTGGGAGTTGTTCAAGAATCTTCACAACCTCACTGTCATCTACCTTGCTCCTTTCTCTCAGCCACCAACCATCACACACTTCAGCCACATCCTTGACACCACCTGAAGACCCCCTGCTCCTTCTTTTTGTAAAAAAAAATATATATATATTTATTGTCTGACTGATGTGGCTCAGTGGCTGAGCATCCACCCGTGAACCAAGAGGTCACTGGTCTGATTCCCAATCAGGGCACGTGCCCGGGGTTTGGGGCACGATCACCGGGAGGGGGCGTGCAGGAGGCAGCCGATCAATGTTTCTCTCTCATTGATGTTTCTATCTCTCTATCCTTCTCCGTTCCTTTCTCTCTAAAGTCAATTTTTAAAAATTTATTTATGGATTTCTAGGGAGAGAGAGAAAAACACATTGATTTGTTTTTCCACTTTTTAAAAAAATATATTTTATTGATTTTTTTACAGAGAGGAAGGGAGAGAGATAGAGAGATACATCGATGAGAGAGAAACATCCGTCAGCTGCCTCCTGCACACCCCCTACTGGGGATGTGCCCACAACCAAGGTACATGCCCTTGACCGGAATCGAACCTAGGAACCTTCAGTCCGCAGGCCGATGCTCTAGCTACCGAGCCAAACCAGTTAGGACTGTTGTTCGACTTATTGACGCATTCATTGGTTGCTCCTTGTATGTGCCCTGACCAGGGCCTGTCCCAGGTGTATCAGGATGGTGCTCTAACCACCTGAGGTACCTGGCTAGGGATCCTGACCCTTCTTGCCTCTCCATGCTTCATTCACATGGTTCCATCTCCCAGTCATAGTGTCCCCTTTCTCCATCTTTGCAGCATATGCTTATCTTTTGAAATGCAGCTCAAATATCACCTCCTCAGGCAAACTGCATTCCCTGCCTTAACAACACTTCCACTCCTGGCCATTCCCACAGGTTGGATTAGGGCCATGGTTTAGTCAACCTCAGTGCCATTGATATTTGGGCATTTGTAGCTGGGTGATTTTTTTGTTGTGTGGGGGATGGGCTTCCCTGTGCATTGTAGGATGTTAAGGAGCATCCCTGGCCTCCACACATGAGATGCCAGGAGCTTCCCCTGCCCTGTTTTGACAACTAAAAGTATCTCCAAACATTGTCAAATGTCCGCGGGTGGCAAAAAACCCCCAGTTTGAGAACCACTGGGTTAGACTCTAACCGTTAGAGCCTCCCTCCTCTGCCTTCACAGAGATATGTCAGCAGAATGACAAACTTTCTCTAGTTTTTCTTTTCAAGGTCACCACAGAAACCTTCGCTCCTGGCTAGTTTCGAAACAAAAGTGCATTTCAGCTCCTTTTTAAATGCATTCATGAAGGGAGCATTGAGAAACCCCTACATCTTCCCCTCATTTTTTTGTTCTCCAAAATTTTACTGCATGTGATTATATGC